GCAATGGCACCTGGCCCCGCGGGACCAACGCCACCTGCCCGGAGAGGACGCAGGACTTGGTGGTGCATCCCCGCGCCGGCGAGAGCCGCGCCACCTCGTCGGTGATCGCCGTGAAGGTGCAGCTCCTGCGGAAGGCCGAGCGCTCCAAGCTCTACGTCCTGTGCACTCGCAGCGACCCGGGGCAGCCCTGGCTGCGCCTGGAGGGCAAGGATGCCTTCCTGCGCGTGGTGGAGGAGAAGAAGCACCTGCTCCCCCTTTGGCTGCAGATCATCCTCATCATCGGCCTCCTGGTGCTCTCCGGCATGTTCAGTGGGCTCAACCTGGGCCTCATGGCCCTGGACCCCATGGAGCTGCGCATTGTCCAGAACTGTGGCAGCGAGACAGAGAAGCGCTACGCCCGCAAAATCGAGCCCATCCGACGCAAGGGCAATTACCTGCTCTGCTCGCTCCTGCTGGGCAACGTCTTGGTCAACACCACCCTCACCATCCTGCTGGACGATCTCATTGGCTCTGGGCTGGTGGCCGTCATCGCTTCTACCTCCGGGATTGTGATCTTTGGGGAGATTGTGCCCCAAGCCCTCTGCTCCCGTCATGGCCTGGCTGTGGGTGCCAATACCATTGTTCTCACCAAGGTCTTCATGCTCTTAACCCTCCCTGTTTCCTACCCCATCAGCAAGCTCCTAGACTTTGTGCTGGGCCAAGAAATTGGCACAGTCTACAACCGGGAGAAGCTGGTGGAGATGCTGAAGATCACTGAACCGTACAATGATCTGGTGAAGGAGGAACTGAACATGATCCAGGGGGCACTGGAGCTTCGGACCAAGACAGTGGAGGATGTCATGACCCCTCTTCATGACTGCTTCATGATCAACAGTGATGCCATCTTGGATTTCAACACCATGTCTGAAATCATGGAAAGCGGCTATACCCGTATACCAGTCTTTGAAGAGGAACGGTCCAACATTGTAGATATCCTGTACATCAAGGACTTGGCCTTTGTGGACCCTGATGACTGCACCACCCTCAAGACGATCACAAAGTTCTACAACCACCCGGTCCATTTTGTCTTCCATGACACCAAGCTGGATGCCATGCTGGAGGAATTCAAAAAGGGTAAGTCAAGGTGGAAGATTGCGCATCGGTGCCAGTCTGGGCAAGGTGCCTACTCTTAGTGCTTTTTGCTGCCCAGGGCATGTTTTGCAAAGATGCAGGTTCTTCTGTGATTATGCGTATCTCCAGAATCATAGGGAGCATGCTTTTAAATCTTGGTGGCTGGGATGCAACAGGGTGACTGCCTCAAGGCTTCTAACGCAGAAGGTTATGACCAAAACCAGCAAAAGGTTTTGTAGGCTATTGAGCTCCATATCATGCATGGAATTCATGTCTCATGGACTCTGTCCACACATTGCATGGACAGTTATCACAGCCTTCGTGCACGTTTGGCTGATGATTTTATGGGAAAAGTAGCCTCTGGGGCAGATAATTACAAACCCAGTGCCCAGGCAGTTGTGGCTTATTGAACAAGCCATTGTTAAGCAAATAATAGCTTGAAGCGATGGGTGAACCCAGTCCTTCACGCATTACGTATGAAACAAGGTGGTTTCGGAAAAAGGCCCATCAGGATGACCGGGGTTACTTCCTTGAGCAGGTTTTGCAGCCCCGTCCTACGTATGTTTGTTCAGACGTACATTCTGCTGACTTAGCAGAATGGGCAAGAGAAAAGCAGAATTGTTGCCTGTTATTACTTGGATGTCAACAGCCTGCAAAGCGACTCTCCCAGCTGCTGTGCAGCAACCTAGAATCAGGCAGATGTGTGCGATGCCTCAACAAAAGGGGAAAAGCAACTCCTGTCTTTTCAAAATAACTTTTTCAACTCATCTGTCAGAGGTTCTCTCTTGTGAGATGTGTCTCACTCGCTGGAAAACAAGCGAGCTGATCAAATAGAATGAAAGCGAGACAGAAAATCCTTCCGGAATGAGATCCTTCCGGTGTTGGGCCAGATTTAGTGGGTGAAGGGCCGGGAAACTGCATCCAACTTCTCTAGCTGCAGATTAGAATAGCCGCAGTGCCAGAATATAGCATGCCCTGAGTAATTTTGCCCACGGACAAGGTGTGAAGTTAATAAAACATGCTGGGTTTTTTGTTGCCCTTCCATTGCCAGAGGAGGGTTTCTAACTCTTCCCGCAGAAGGATCAGGAAACACGTGTTACAATGAAATAATGCCATTAAACCCCAGACCCTTAAAGCTATAATGCAGCTGTCTTAGGGGTGCATTTTGAAGAATCCACAGATGCCCCACTTGGAGCCTAGGTGTTCTCCTGCATAATGCTCCTTGCCCTTGTTCATTTTGGTGAAGCTTGGACAGGAGAATTGATTTCGGGTCTTGCTTTTGCAGTCATTCCCAACAACAGTACGAAATTGGAGCACGTCATGTATATAAACAAAGGGAAAAGGTTATTTGCGAGTCATTAGTTTTTGGCTTTTTTTAACTGTAAGTCAACATGGAACTTTTTCCTGTATTTGCAGTCCAAACAGGGTCAGGAGATTACTGTACAAATCTTGGCCCAAGTTGAGCAAAAGTGAAACTGTAGCATATATAGGTACTTTGGTGTTCCCATGGGCAGAAATGCATTCCTTGCTTTTTGGTGGAGCACATGAGTTAAAAGCAGATGGGTTCTGATTTACCACATTTAGGCGTAGCCAAGCGGTCTGATCGTGTTTAGCATGACAATGACCCATTGCAACCAGAGCTTCTGACCATTGGAGAACGCCCATATTGAATAAACCTCCCCCACTGAGTAGACACCAACAGCCTAACCATGAGCACATTTCAGCATGAGAATGACCCTTTGGAACCAAAGCTTCAACATTTAGAGGAGAACTCCCATCTTGATTAAATATCCTGTTGAGTAGACACCAACAGCCTAAGCATGAGCAGTTCAACATTTTTTACTCCAGTCCTGAACTTACTCTTTAGTTTACTCTCTAAACTTAATCTCATTAAACAGATTAGATTTAATTGTGAATATGAATGTGTGTGTGGCCCCCCCGGCTTCTTTTCTTTTCTTTTTTCCTTCTTTTTATTTGAGCCAAGGTCTACACATGAAATTTGAATGGCAAACTGGCCACCCTCCCACCATTGTTCACCTGGAATTGATATTTGGAGATATGCTGGCCCCAACCTAGGATTGAGTGTTATTTCAGTCGCAGGTCTTGTGGTAATGGGTTCCACTAGTTCATTACATGCTGGGTAAACAAGGGTTTCCTTTTATCTGTTCTAAATCTTGTTCCTATCAGCCCCTGGTTCTAGTGTTTTCTCTCTGTCCATTTTCCCCATGCCATGTATAATTTTAAAGTCCTCAAACCTGTCACCCCTAAGTTGCCTTTTTTTTTTTTTAAGGCTTAAGACCCTCAGAGATTCTAGATTTTTTTTAGAGAAGATGTTTGGAGTCTTCTGATCATTCTGGTTGCCGCCTTCTGCACTTTTTCCAGCTTTGTTCCATGCTTTTTTGCAAAGAAGCAACCAGAACTGTACACAGTATTTCTGATGTTAGAATACATTACAGCATTAATGGTTTTATTTTTGATGATGATGATACTGAATCATGTCCGATTCTCGGCCATTCTACGGACCAGCTCTCTCCACATTTTCCGATCTTGTATGGCTTCTTTCAGTTGTTTATGCTCTGGCTGGTGTTGGCTTTGATGGTGTCTAGCCATCATGCTTTTTGGTGGCCTCGTTTCCTTTTACCACTGACCATTCCGAGCATAACTGCCTTTTCCAGTGAGTTGATCGCATGACATGGATGAAATAAGTAAGGCGGAATTTTGTGATTTTGCCTTCCAGCGATATGTCTGGTTTTATACACTCCAGAACTTGCTTGTCTGCCACCTTTGCTGTCCAAGGAATGCACAGGAGCCTTCTCCAACGCCACAGCTCGAAAGAGTCGATTTTCCTCCTGTCTAGTTCTTTCATGGTTTAACTTTTGCAACCGCAGGTAGCTATGGGAAATAGTGCAGACTAATCTGCATGTAGTTGCCAGGCTGATGTCCTGGCTTTTCTATATATTTTTTTTTATTTTTAGCGTTTAGCTTTTCCATATTTTATTTTTAGCTTTTAGTTTTATTTTTAGCTTTTAGTTTTATTTTTAGCTTTGACTAATGATCCCTTGCATGGATTTTTCATAGCTGCTACACACTAATACCTTCATTTGGTTCTAAGATCTTTTTCCTGACTCGTTTGCACACAGCTCAGCCCCACTGGAGAATATGTGAAGCTAGGGCAGTTTGCTCCAGCATCCATCACTACCCTGATAAATTAAACTGCAGATGCCAAGCAATCAGGGTATAAGCTGTTATCACCAATAATGTGGAAGATAACATAACTTTGGATGCAGTTTTTGAGATATTCTATAGAAAAGTGAAGAATAGGTTTGGTCTGGGGAATGAGATTCTTCTTTTGAAAGAATTGTGGGCAGAATTTTTGGGTTAGCTTTTTTTAAAAAAAAAAAACCAGTGTGATTAATGATCTGTAGAGCCAACAGTGGTCAGATAAAATTGCTCAAAGATGAGAAGACTACTCTTGTTCCGTGAGTTGCTGGTTAATGCCCATCTGTCAGCTTTACTTCATATTGACATGGATTTTCCTTGGCTGTAATTCAGAAGAAACGAGCAGATAGGGCCTAAACTGTCTGTGCAAACATCTCTGATGGCAGAAGGGACTAATCTGGACAGATATGGTGTTAACTTTTCTTTTCCATTCTATTGAAAACTGTTCACAAGAAAAGCATGTCGAGAAAGCTTCCTCAGTCATCTACTTGCTCTTTAAGATGCATCTCAGCTTAAGGAATGGCAGATAGAGGAAAGGCACATCCTGTACAAGGTATCTTTGTGTGGCTGGGTTCACCCATTCCACTAAGCCATAAATGTGATTTTTGGGGGGTTAGCATGTTACATCAACACAGCTTTGTACATAAACCACAATTTACAGCTTAATGCTGTGCTAATGTGGCCAGTCTGGCTTGAATAATGATTAAATTGAACAAATCATGGTATTGCAGAATATGTGAGCCCAGCCAGAAGATAAACTTAGTGTCTTTAAGTATTTCCATTCCAGAAAGGCAGTATCAGAAGAATATGAACCTTTGAATCCATGTACAAGAATATACTGTGATAGCCTCTTCTAATCTGGTGCCTCCAGATATTTTGGGCATGGTGTCCTGGAGTTATGGGACCTGAAGTTGAATATGTCTCTGTACATAAGGATAAATGCTGTGGTTCCCAAATCTGCACCATGGCACCCCAAGGCGCTGCAGCAAACACAGGGGTGCTGTGGGATATTTTCAGTTTCCAAGGGTTATTTGACATCTGTTGGACACTGTGAATTGCTAGCCTAGTACCACCCTGTTTCCCTCCAACATTCAAAATATCCTGCATCATCTCCATGAGATTGCTTCTTCTGTTAAGCCCACAGTTCCCAAACTGGAGTGTACAGTACACAGTTTGGGAACTGCAGGGCACCGTGAAAAAAATTACTAAGACACTAAGGGCACTGTGAACAGATAACCTCTGGATACAGTATAATGCTCTGAAACATCTGGCATCAATTGGCTGGGCTTATGGGGTGATCCAGAGAAATAAATAATTTGTAATCTAACTTCTGAGAGAGAAAGGAAATTCGTCTTTTTTTGCTGGGGTTGAAAACCTTGGGTGTTGAAGGAAGCTGAAGAAGTGGTACTGGAAAAAGAAGGCTCTTTAGGAAGAACTGACGAAGGATAAGGCTTAAGAACGAGGGCAGAGATGAGATGGTATTTGGTAAGACGCTAATTAGATAGAGCAGGAGGTGATGAAGTTTCACTTTGCTTAAGATCAGACAAAGCGTGTTAAGAAGAAAATAGCAGGTTGGGGAAGTGGTTCAAGATTGGGAATTGAGTGAAAGTATTGCGAGAGAGCAGTTGTGATCTGAAAAGCAGACATCCAAGGAAACAAATGGGTGGTAGATGCCTGGAGCTGAAATAAGGTACTAGAAGACAACTTGGAGCTTAGTGTTGTTAGAAGGAAAGAAGGAAGAAGCAGAGAGATGGGGTGGGCAAACCTAGAAGATCTAAGCACTC